CCGGTAAGTCGTTGTACGTCCTTCAGCGAACTGGGCGACCTCATTTCAGTTATGGCCTTGATCTTCTCCGGATTAGGCTCAATTCCACGCTTGGTCACCATGAACCCCAGAAACTTACCGGTCTTTACAGCAAAGACGCATTTCTTGGGGTTGAGACGCAAGTTGTACCTAGCCATAATCTCGAAGCAGAGCCTCATGTCGGCCGGGTGGTTCTCCGCACCCGGGCTCTTGATCAGCATGTCATCCACATAAGCCTCCATGGATTTACCGAGGAGTGGCTTAAAAAGCCGGTTTACCATCCTCTGGTAAGTGGCGCCCGAGTTCTTCAGTCCAAAGGCCATCACCCGGTAGCAATAAGTGCCTTCGGGGGTCAAGAAGGAAGTCTTTTCCTCGTCCTCTTCAGCCATGAAAATCTGATGGTCGCCTTTGAAAGCGTCCATGAAGCTGAGCAATTCACACCCTGCCGTCTCATCGACCATCTGATCGGGACTGGGCAGCGGGTATGAATCCATGGGGCATGCCTTGTTCAGGTCCGTGTAATCCACGCACATGCGCCAGGTATCGCCCTTTGGAGCCAAGACTACGTTTGCTAGCCAGGCCGGGTATTGCACTTCTCATATGTGCCCGACCGCCAACAAATCCCTCACTTCTTTCTTCACAAAATCCCTCCGGACATTCGCCAAGTGCCTCTTTTTTTGTTTCACAGGCCGGCTTCCTTCCATCACAGCCAAACGATGGCATATGACAGAACGGTCAATACCTGGCATGTCCGCCACACTCCAAGCAAAAATATCTGCATATTCCCGAAGGACCGAGATGATTTCATCTCGAAGTCCTCCGGGCAGATCTCTGCCAATCCTTACCATTCTTTCTGGGAAGGCTTCCCGGAGAACAATCTGTTCGGTTTCATCGCCCGGTTCCATCTTTGACCTGTCTTCTTCCTGGGAGACCAAGGTGATCCTTTCGAACGCCTTGGTCATTTTCTTTACAACTTCCAAATAACAATGCCGAGCCTTCTTTTGATCTCCTCTGACTTGTCCTATACCGCCCGGGGTATAGAACTTCATACAGAGGTGGGCCATGGAGATGACCCCTCGAACCTTGTTTATCCCAGGCCGGCCCAAAATAGCGTTGTGAACACATTTGATGTTCACAACTACAAACCTCATTTGCTTTTGGACGACCTGGTCGCCTGTGCCCAGCTCACAAGTTAGAAGAATCGACCCTTCAGCTTCGACTGAGTCCCCGGTAAACCCAGACATGGGAGTCTTTAAGGGCTCAAGCCGTGTTCGACACAACTTGAGCTTCTCAAATGCATCCAGGTACAAAATGTTAACACTGCTGCCCGTGTCAACAAGTACCCGGGAGACATCAACTCCACCCATGTCCATAGTTATCACCAGGGGGTCATTGTGATCTTCTCCGGTGGCGGGAAGGTCCCGGTCAGTAAAAGTGATCGGTTCCCGTCTTGCTTGTTTTGACCGGGGATTGAGGGCTACCGTCCCTACGTAGAGCTCTCTCCCCCACTTCTTCCTTTGGGAAGCAGAATCTCCCCCTTCCGGTCCACCGTAGATGACCTGTAAATGCTCCTTGCCGGCTGCTTTCTTCTTCTTGTTCTGTTCGGCCGGCTGTCCTTCAGGCCTAACCCATTGATTCTTCTTTGGTTTGGCCTGAGCCAGGTACTCAGGATCAATCTCCCCAGCCTCGATCATCTGCTTTATTACTCCTTTCACACTGTTACACTCTGCAGTGTTATGGGAGTCAGTTTTGTGAAAAGAGCAATACTTCTCCGTCCATTGTTTCTCGCCGGTTGGTTTCTTCTCTGTTTTGACCGGCTTTACCTCCATGATTTCAGCTTTCACCTTACCGGGCAATCCAATCTCCTTTTTCAAGGAAATCTTTCCTTTTGAATGGCCCTGCTCGGCCTCCCGCTTGGATGACACCTGTGCCTCAGCGTCAGCATAATCCCAGGCCGTGTTATGGGCCTCTTGGTAGGACTGGGGAGGCCTCCTGCAGAATTCTTTGTAAAGTTCTCCGGACCGGAGCCCGGACACAAGGAGGGACATGGCTGTTTTGTCGTCCATCTCCTCCACCTTGTCAACTTCATCCTTCCACCGGGTAAGGAATTTTGTCAGATCCTCGTGCTCTCGCTGCCCGGCTGTACTCAAGTAGGTGAATTTTTTCCTCTTGGTACAATTTTCCTTAAACTTTTCTTGAAACACCTCAGCCAGCTCATCGAAAGAATCGATTTCACCGGCCGGTAGGTTATGAAACCACTCGGCGGCGCGGCCGCGGAGGGTTTGAAAGAAAAGCAAACATTTCTCATCCCCAGAAAGACCCATCATCCACCCACTTTGATGGAGGGTTTTGACGTGAATTTCCGGGTCCTCCTTCCCGGTGAACTTCGGGACTTCAAGTTTCGCCTTCTTTGGAAACGGGGTCTCATGAACCCGGTCTGTGAACGGAGATTCGTTCAGCAGAATCTTCTTCTTTTCTTCCCGGTCTACTCGGCGTTGCAGTTTCTCCAGACGTGCCTCGACTCGGCCCACACGATCCCGAGGTTGTTCAACATGAGAACGGGTCAGGTGCCTGGGGTGGCTTTCGGCTTCTTCCTCTCGCGGCGTCCGGCTGTGCTGGGGCTCATCGCGTGGGGGTGGTTCCGTTCGCCTGGTCTGACCAGGTCGTCCGGCTCCTCTCCCCGCACGATTAAAGGCACTAGCCGGGATGGTTACCACTCCCAACCGTTCCTTTGCTGACCGGTTTTGATTTTGGCCATCGTGTCCCAGCCTTTGGAAGGCCGACCTCCTAGATCCTTCTGGTTGAACATCCTTTCCCTTCAATTTTTTGAGCGCTTGGGGGACGTCCCAATCCTCGTCCTTGCTGTGGACTGAACGCACATTTCCGTCCGAGGTCACCTTTGTTTGTGACCTACGGGACTGGCTTCTTCTAGACCGGGATGGACCTGCTTTATCCATCTCCCCGATCAGGTTTGTCGGGACGATCGGGCGAATGACGTTAGTTTGAGGCGAGGATTGTGGATACAATCCCGGATTAAAAGGTGAAAATCCTCCCGGCTGCTGGAACATGGACATGAAATGTCCAAAATTCTGAAGAGCCTGGGTATACATTGGATCAAGGGGTCCGGGGAAATTTGAAGGAAAAACAGGAACAGGATTCACGGGGGAAGTGAATGGGATAGGTGGTGGAATGGTGATAATGGGGGTAAGAGTCTGGCTTGTCTGTTGTGTACTTCCTCCCGGGAACGAAGTGACGTTCTCAGCGGGAGTAGAGATTTGTGAGATCACGGTTTCCTGATTACTGGCCATGACTTTTTGTAATGGGTCCCACGGATGGCGCCAATTTGATGGTGTAAATTACCACGCAAATGCTAAGTGTAAGTAATCGGAAGGGTTGTAGGTGGAAACACCTGTAACCCGGTTTGTTATTAATGATAATAGGAGCTATTACAAAATACAAGCCGCGTGGATTAATTCAAGCATACCTCACAAATGAGGATTTTAGGGGTATTTATAATAAAGCTAAGCACGTCAAGCACGTCTTTGGTTATCCAACCGGTCAGCCTTCTGACCGGTCCCATAGAAGACCTGGAGAGCCCGGTCTGAGGAAAGTGCGCTCTGCCACTTCGACCACCACCCAGTCGGACGAACCAACCGGGTGGCATCCATGGGTTATCACCCATCAAAATGAATTAAAGAAGTGCATTGGATGGTGTGTAAAAATGAAAGTAGACAAATACAGGGGGACGGAGGGAGTACTATCTTTGACAACATGGATTTGGATTTCAAGTCCAGATTTAGCTCAAATTCTATGTTTGAAAAGCTTAAAAGTTTTAGATTTGGATATGAGTCAAATTTCTTTCATTCATAACAAAAATTAATTTGAATTCATACATCTCATTGTCATTTGAAATTCAAGATTTCAAATTTTGAAATTGAAATGTATTAATTGAAATAAAATGCTAGTTTCCAAACACTACCTAATTGAATAATTCTAAATCCATTCCCAAATAACCTAGGAATTGAATGCTTGATCTTTTGTTAGATACTTGAGATGACCTAAACTTAATTAGAACCGAATGGGTGAGTCTGAATAAGACCCGAAAAAATTAGAGCTGAATTAAATAAAACTTAAACCAAATATATTTAGACCAAATACAATCTAAATCGAATCATAATTGAATTGAATGATATATCATATTGAGATTGATTAGTTAAATTGAAAAAAAAAGGAAAATGAAGAAAGGATGAATGCATGTGTCATGCATGCGAAGTGATGGTTGGAACTGGACAATGCATCTGAAGTGGAGGTTGTCTTCTTCTCTTGTTTTTGGTGGTGTACGAATCTAAGGGGTTGAGATATTTCTTTCTTTGTTGCTCTTTCCCTCTTATAAGAGGAATGTTCTCCTTAAGTTTGGGGTGGGTTTTTCACACACGGCTAAGAGAGAAAGAGTGTGAAGAGAGAGGTGTTACACAACATATCACCAAGATTGTGTGAGTACGTGAGTGTAGGGAGTAACTATTATTTAGTTACTCGAAAAATACATCCGGGTGTAGGTAGGGGTGTTCATCGGTCCAAGACCGGACCAAACCGAATTGGACCGAATAAAAATATATTTTTTAATTATTTTGATCAATTAAATATATTTTAGATTTTGATGGTTTGTCTTTCAAAAAAATATTTTAGGGTTTTATTTTGTAGCGTACAAATTGGAAAAAATACACAACCTAAAAATAGATATACAACATGGACTACATCTATGTAGGATAATAAAAACTAATGCTGACGATTTTACTGAGCTGCTTGATGTTACTAGGAGTAGGTCATTGTTGTAGTGCTGACAATTTTTTAGATCAGTGGACACCCCAGCTGCACTTATGTAGTGACCAAGGTACTCTACCTTAGAGACCCAAAAGCACACTTAGCCATTTTAGCATAAAGTTGAGCTTCCTTCATCAACCGTAAGACTTCTCTTACATGCACCACATGGTTAGTTAAATTTTTGTTGTAGATTAAAATGTCATCAAAGAAGACAAGCACAAATTTTTTTAGAGTTGTTCTGAACACAAAATTCATAAGTTCTTGGAATGAGGATGGAGCATTAGTTAGCCCAAAGGGCATCACTAAGAACTCATAATGGCCTTCATGAGTTCTGAAAGCAGTTTTGTGAACATCTGCTTCTTAATTGGTGATACCCAGCCCTAAGGTCAATTTTAGAGAAGATAAATACACCTTCCAATTCATCCAGCAAGTCCTCTATTATTGGAATTGGGAACTTATCCTTAACTGTTTGTTGGTTCAATTCCATCTTTTTCCAATCAAAACCACATGCAGGTGAGGCATATGGGCTAAAATTGTGTTGTATAACCCCTTGGTCTAACATCTCCTGGACCAACCTTTCAATAATGTCCTTCTTTAGACTTGGGTATTGATAGGGCCTTTTATTTACAGGATTAGCAGATTCTTTTAAGGGAATCCTATGATCAAATGTTCCTCTTCCAGGTGGTAACTCCTTATGCACTTCAAAGATGCTGCCAAATTCATCAATTAGCTTAGACAACTCAGGACATGTTATATGACCCTTTTCAGCTTGTATGTGGTAGTATGAGAACTCAGTATCAGCTCTTGTGGCTACTGTCATCATAAAGAGTTGTGCTTTATCATGGCAATCCTTTTCCATGCATGGTTCTCATTTTAGTGGTTTTTATCTGACTATTAGCCCCTCTCAAAACATGCTTTCCTCCCTTGAATTTGAACTCAATGATTCTGTTTTTGAAGTCAAACAGAATCCTTCCCAAGGTATTTAACCATTGCACCCCTAAAACGATATCCACACTTCCCAATGGTAAAAGTAGGAAATCAGATTCAAACATGGTACCTTGTAGCTACCATTGTGCATTCTTACAAATGGAAGCTGTTTGGACCCTCTTACCATCAGCCACACTAATTGATTGCTCCACAATCTGGTTAGTATCACAATTCAATTTCTTGGCTATGGTTTAACCCATGAAGTCGTGAGTACTACCGATGTCAATAAGGATCTACAGAGGTTGTTTTTTATAATAACCAGTCACCCTTATTGTCTGATAACCAGTAACTCCCATTAAAGCCTGTAGTGAGATTGTCATGAGCTCTACTGAACTATCTGAATCAGACCCTACTTCTGATTCCTCTTCTACAACATCAACTAAAAAATTTGCTTTTTACTAGCACATTTATGACCAACAACATACCTCTCATCACAGAAGAAGCATAGGCCCTTGGCTCTTTTTCATCCATTTTAGTAGTTGTGAGTCTTCTTCCCATGGATGGCTTAACCTGCCCCTCATTTTGGACAGTCTTGTTTGAGGGTGACTTATGTTGGGTTACTTGTTTCTTGAACCCTGGAGTGGGTAAAATACCACCTTGCTGCCTCCCAACCGCCTTCAGCTCCCATGACTTAGCTTGTGCATTGAAAACTTCTTCTTCTAGCCTTGCAGCCTTGTAAGCTTGCATCAGTGTTTTTGGGTTTTGCATCCTCACTACCTTATTGATTTCTGGTTTTAAATCCTCAATAAAACAGCGGATAGCATTCTCAAGAGATAAATTGATAGTTGTCATCAATTTATCAAAAGATGCTTGGTACTCCTTAATGCTTCCTGTTTGAGTCAAATTCTTGAGTTCCTCATAGGATCTTCAAAGGTTTCGCCAAACCTTTCATTAAGAGCTAGCACATACTCTGTCCAGGTACAATCAGACAGGTTGAGATGCTTTATGAACAATCTGTGCCAAGCTATACCGTCTCCTTCCAAATGTATGGCCGCAACCTTTACATTCTGCTCTGAAGGAATTTCGTCCATAGCAAAGATTTGATCCACCTTGTATAACCAGGTTCTGAGTTCTTGCCATGAGAACTTTGAAAAATCCTGGAGAATCTGGTAAGAGAATTACCATGGTATGCATTATGATGGAAGTTATCATGGCGTTTATTCATGTGAGATGACTCAATCTCCCTCTCCTTGTTCATATGAGATGAATCGATCTCCTTGTCCTTAGTGGTTGTAACGCCCCAAAATATACCCTAGAATTATTAATAAATAAATAATCAATTAATCAAAATTGTTATGATTAAAAATAAATGTTTGTTGGGCTTTGGGCCAAAATGAAATATGTTTAAATATTCAATATCACAATCTAGATAAATCTTATAGAGATAAATCCAATATGTTGACTTATTGTGTGATCTTGATTGGGAACCTGAGTACAGACCCAAATTAAGAATAAATGAAGAAATTGATTGTAATGTGAACTTTGAAATGATTTATTGAAATAAATCATGAAAATAAGTTGTATGGATTAAATATGAGAACCTTTTATGATAAAGTCAAATTAAACCAATTTTGACTCTGTTAAAGTCAAACACCTAAAAATATGATGTCGGAAAAAGTATAACGAATAAATATAAAAATTATATCGTTGGATAGAGTTTAATTTCACGATCGCAACGGTGCAAATGGATTTCAATTCAAAGAAAGTTGGACCAAAAAGTGTTCCCCGACTGGGACCAATCTAGTCCCAATCAGGGACTTGCGTCTGGAATCCTAGCAATCGCCGCTCCCTCCACCGAGACGCCAGAACAGAGAAAAGGATGTCACTACACCTGTGTCTTCTTCCTCTCCTCTCCACTATATAAACCTCTCTAAACTTCACCATTTTTCACCATTCTTCTTCCAAGAGATAGCTGAGAGTATAGAGAGTAAAGTATTGCTGTCAAGAAAGCTTGCTATCGCCGGAGCAGTGAGATAGAGTCGCCGGAAGTTTCGCCGGAAAATCGTCAAAACCTTCCTTACGCTTCAAAGTAAGCCCGTTGATATATCTAATGACTAGAATGTTCGTATAGATCGTTTCTACGTTCATAAACGGTCGTTTGGTTGAGTTTTGTGTTTGACATGCTTGAAGAATCAAGAATCATAAACCATGAATTTGATGTTAAAACTATGAATTAATAATACCAAAATGATCTATGAACCTTGTAGAACATTTCTATATAGTTTAATGGAAGTTCGGAAACTAAAAATGAGATTTTCGAAATTGGTGTTGCGAGGTAGAAGACGATGAACAGTGGCTGAAAAGCCACTGTCTGGATCGATCCTCTCACTTGGATCGATCCTCTGGGAGTATTTTTACATAGTATGGATCGATCCAGAGGGCTGGATCGATCCCCCGAAAATCTGATCCGAACATTTGTCTGAAAATGCTATTTTTGAACTCTAAAATCCTATTTTTGATACCAATTGATTATGATCATTATAAAAATGATTTACCATAATAAAAATGATGTTTTTGACAAATAAAATGTTATGTGATGCATGACGGTAAGTTCGGGTGTTAACACTCGAAGCTAGGCCGCTATTTACTATCGAATGTTATGTTGATTGATGATTATGATGAATGATTGTTATGATGATTATGGCTTGAGAAAACCACTAATTAAATGATTATCAAGGATTAAATTATGAATTGAAATGAATATGTTGATGATTATGAAATGATTTGGATTGTAAGAATATCTAGAAGAACTCTAAGATATACCTAGGATGACTTTGGTTTCTAAGACTATCTAGAAGACCTCTAAGATAGCTTAGAAATAGGCCTTGCGGGTATAATCATGAGTATTCGGTGGCCTGGGTTAAAACGTACGTACGGGATCTACAAACCAAAACCAAACTTGAGGCACTCGTTTGGGGATACCACCCAACCCGACAGTGAGCATTTCGGATCCGCTGTTCGGTTTTTGGATGACCTTAATCGAAGGTAAGTTTAAGATTTTGAAAACCTCTTTTGAAAATTTATATCTTAAACTAGGCCTAGCTTAAGGGTTAGATAAGAGTACCTTAAAATTGAATATAGTTTAACTATCTTAAACTAGAATTCGTTTAAGAGTTGGAAAATATCAAATAGATTGGCCTTAGACTAAGAATAGTTTAAGGATATTGTTGAATGACGAATGATGAATATACATATTGAATGATTGAATAATGAATTGATTATTGATGATTGAATATCTGAACTGGACATTATGTGCATGATATCAAATGATTTGATTATGAATTAAGTTTCTATTTATATGGATGTTCGACGCGTTAGATATGCTTACTCAGCTTTACCGCTGAGCATGTAGTATGTTTTATTTGCTACACGCAGGTTAATAGAAAGAATGATGTGACGTGATTCTGGAGGCAGACGGAGGCGAGATTGTCGGAATGGATGTGATGGTTTTGAATTAAAGAACATAAATAAATTATGTTTGTAGTTATGATTTGTTAAGCTTCCGCAATATTAAAAACTCTGTATTGTTTATGATATGAAAATATTATTGTGATAAATAAAAGTGTTTGAAATGTTTTAAATTTTACGATTACCAAGTTAATACTTTAGTCCGAAAGGGGCTGCAGACCTGGACGGATTAGGATGTTACACTGGTTATCTCCAATTTTTTTAGAATTCCCTTGAGTTTTCCCAATTCTTGATCTGTGTGTGAGCAGCGATCATTGATGACGCTCATTCCTTCCATTAATTTCTGCAACTGGAGTTGAATCTGTGTAAATTTGTCATCCATCTCGTCGTTTGCTACTTCTGATGCTCTAGTTCTCGTCCCAATTGGTGCCAAAATAACAGAGAATCTAGGAAACAAGAGAGTTTTGAAGAATCAAAAGGGTAGAATCAGGGCAGAACCTAGATATCAACCATAGAGAAAAGATATTAGGGCTAAAGAAGAAGCGTTTATTATTATTCATATGTCTGAATACAGAGCAGCCCTTCCTTTTATACTGATCGGGTATCAACAAGGAAGAAAAGCAGAAATGAAACAGAATAACAGAAATGAAACAAAATTAGTTACAATTGATAACTAATCTATTAGCTTCCTCCCAGCTCATCTCCAACGTGTATCAAACTGAAGATTTACATATTTGCTTTTTCTCTACAGAAATCAGGTCCAACCATTAACGACAAGGCCTAAGCTTTGGCAATGCATTGAAGCGAAAGCTAAATATGTTCTGAGGCTTTAGTCTTAAGTAGTTTTTGTTGTACAAATATCATTCTACAAACTAGTGTTTTTGTTTTGTATCGTTTATGTTCGAAAAAACATGTAAAACTTTTAAATACCTTAAAGAACTCTATAAATATTCTCTTCAAACAAACATTTACTCTCACAACGTTATTTTGGATTCGCAACTTCCAATCTCGTATTGCATATTTCGAAAGCACCATGTCTGAAAAAATGCATGTTACAAAAAATAGGGATGATGAAATGGAAGGAGGTTAAATTGATCCCGCAAATTGGGATCTATTGATACTCCATCCGGTCCTTTTAATAAGATTGTTATTTAAAAAAGAAAATTTTGGTACGGGTAACTTTTTTAGAACAATACTACTAGGTTCACAGACAAAATGATCACAAAGTTAACAAACTCATCATTTAAATTTTCAATTTAAAATTATCCCAAACTACTTTTCTTTATTAAAATTCGCAAATAATAAGTTTGTAAAATTTGTAATAATTTGGTTTGTGAACCAAGTATTTCTCAACTTTTTAATGGAATGCTAATATTACAAAGACGAATAATTTTACCTAAAATAGTTGTAAAAAACACATCTAAGCAAAATAGCCACACATTTGAAGGGAGGCTTAGGCAGAGCTAGGATGGGGTAGGGTGGGGCTAGGGGAGGGTTTAGGGGGTGAGTTAAGGGAACCATGCCCCTTTTTTTTTATTTCTATTTAAAAAATAGGTATTCTCTCCTCAAAATTATCCGCCATCTCAGTTTGGAATGTCCCAAAAGAAAATAGTGTGTGACCATTTTATTTCTCTTTTTCTCTACACAAACCACAATTAAGTTATTGAACAATAAACTACCCGTTTTTTTTTTGAAATCAATAAACTACCCGTTTTATTATACCTACTAATGTCCCAATTAATCTTCCCCAACTTTCCTCAATCAAAATTTAGACTATGACTAGGTTTTGCAAGTATATATGTACATAACGTTAGAGATTAGCATTAGCATTTTGATAAAGCTATATACGGCCAGCGTAACGTTAGCATTTTCAAAGTAATCTGCACCATTAAAATTTTATCCAAAATGCTTAAACTAATCTCTAACACTATTCGTCTATTCCCAAACAGGCTCAATGTGAATTAAACAAACCGAGATAAATAATTATGACAATTGACTTGCCTAACAACTAAGCATCCCTTATATTGAAAGTAAAATTTGCACTGAATAGAACTTAAACATAAGTTATTTCCCTATGTAAGACTTAATTTTTTTTATTTTCTAAATAGAACTTAATAATGACTAGTGAGAAGAATAATGTCCAAGTAATGTTGGACATTTAATTAAATAATGACTAATAGATAATGACCAATGGTCCTACATTGGAAAATAAAAATATATGATACTATTTTGAGAAAGTCGTTATATTTTAGTCCTATTTAAGTAAATTACTCATATTGAAATCATCTCCTACATGAGCATTCATAGACCCTATTATGTTACTTTATTATGAAACTTACTACTGTCAGACCCACTCATTAAATATCCATTGCAGATCCAAGAAAAGAGAAGATCAAAGGCAACGTTCAACAACAAAAAAGAACACATGTCAAGCAAGAAAAGGTGTTCAAAATCCATTACATAACATTGAAAAACCACAAGAACTAGAAGAGGATGAAGAAAATATGAATTTAAGCAGAAGCACCGGCAGCCTTGCCCTTCTTCCTCTGGAGCTTTTTCATGTAAAACTCCAGTTCTTTCCCCTCCAAAATGTACCTACATATGTCAAATAGAAGGGGTAAACAAAATTGAAAATGCACAGCAAAGAGAAAACTTGGAGCCAAATAGATCTACTAAGGAGAAGTAAGAAAAGGATATGGTTTTGGGGCTTTACCCGTCAGCTCTGCCACATTGACCTGGACGAGAGGAAATGCATGCCATAAGCCTGCCAGAACCAAATTGCTCTTCAAGGTGGGGATCAAGTTTCCGGTCCTTCTGGCGGGTCTCAAGCTTCCTCAGGACATGTTTGCTTTTCTTAGTCTCTTCAGTAGCTGCAGCTTCAGTTGCTTCCTGTCGTGTTTAATTAAAATACCAATTTGCAAATCAAGAATGTTTAATGATTCATAAAGGCGATTTATCAAACATTTGATACTTGCAAAAAACTAGAAAAATGTAAAGGAAAGTCATCTGTATTTCTTAAGTTTTGCGCCTTCAAAGACAAGATGTGATTAATTTTTCTTAATATGCATTTAGATTTACTAGTGTTTATACAAAAATATACAAAATTAAATAAAATGAGACCTCTCAATCCTCTCGCCCAGCCAACTATGCTCACATGGGTATACTTTTCCTAAGAGAGTGTTGACCAGAACACATCATGTCATCACTAATTAAGAGTATCAAATTACCTCAGTAGTTTCCTTCTTAGCTGCTGCTTTCTTCTTCCTACCGATGTCAACACCATAGTGCTGGAGATACCACTGCTTAAACGGGGCAGCATCCACTTGAACGATTGCACTCTTCACCAATGTTTGAGTTCGGACAAGCTCATTGTTTGAAGCATTGTAAACCACATCTAGGATACGAGTTTTCCGGGTAACTGCCTCACTGCCCCATGAATAGTTCCCAGTGTCCAATCTCAGGGCTCTCCACTTCACATTTCCACCCCGAACACGGACCCGTCGGACGGTTTTGTTGCTTGAGAGCTTTGTGTTTGCAGGCTGACGTCCGAGCTCATACCTTTGAAAATTAGAATAAACTAATTAAGAAAAAGTACAACTACATCAAGCAAATTAACACTGCTAACCATTATGAAACATGAGTTACAAAATTCATACAGTATTGAAATCTCAAAAAAACCAGGCTGCAACTAAAAAACAAATCAACAGATAGAACCACTTTCCTAAATTATTAAATCAAAGTGTATATAGCTGAAAGATTCCCACTAGGGAAAACATCGACAAAAGAAAACTAGAGTCTTTGGTATAGCCAAACAAATGAATACATGGAAAAACCAATTTAACAGATCTGTTTCCTGCTGGATTAAATTTTATTAATAGATTTACGGAGTTCGGTAAGCAGATATGCTCACAGTATGGAAACCCAAAAAACAACCGGCCAGAAAACTCCAAAATGTCGATATAGCTACAGCCACCATGGCAGTCAAGATTCAGGGTGCAAATAAACTTGCCCTGACCTTGGTACATGTAGCCTTTACAAATACTCTGCAAGTGAATTTATTAAAAGCAAAAATGAAAAAAACAGTATCCGCTGCATAATTTATGTCATTTTTAGTTCCCAATAGCAAATCGGCAAGTTAATTTTAGTATGCATCTAGAATGAACTCGAAAATTTGAACAATGGAGTAAGAATAGAAGAAATGCTGCAAAAGGGAAAAACTTACTTGCGCTTCTTCCTCCAGGCCTTCTTCTTTCCACCCGTTTCACGCCTCTTGTGCATCGAATCACGAGAGATACCTTTTCAATTGTACAGAGATCATCACAAGGAATCGTGAATATGAACATCAAAACGAAAAATGAACACGATTTCGACGTCTACAACTAATAAACACAAACGTTCGATCAATATACAGAATTAAAAGAGAAACGATCAAGGTTTTAGAGATTATACCCATCTTTGCTGCTTTGCTGGAGAAGAAGAAGATTTCTCCGAGTTCAGCCGCTCCGCAAAACCTAGAAGAACAAGAAGAAGAAGCGGCTCTTAAATCTTAAATCAGGGTATTGAGTGGGCTGTATCGATATTGACCCATTACTAAATTCGGCCCAATAAACTACGCACCACTGCAGCAGTAAGCGTACTGGGTATTGCATTCTCTCTTAATACAATTATTAAATATTTTTTCCATTTGGATTTAATTTTAAGTATTTACATAGAGTTTTCTATATTTAGTTTTCTATTATCAAATATAATATCTATGATCTTTTTTATGGATGACTTTCTAGGAATACTCTTTTTTTATCTTCTGTCATGTTGGTGTTAAATTGAAGACTAAAAATGTAATTTCACAATAATCATATATCTTTCTTATCAAAACCAATGCAAAGATCAATACTAATGCATCGTGTGTTGATTAGATTCACTTTCTACTGCAACCATAGTCTGTATACATCGTTTCTGGTCAAAATCCTAGTCCACTACCATAGTTATTGTTGTTATATTGTTTTTTAAGCCGACATCAGAATACATTACTGAACATAAGATCGATGAGGAATTATATTTTTAGCCATCAATTAAACAATATATGACAGAAAATAAAAAAGGAACTGTCCGTGGAAGGTAACCATAAAAAGGACTTGGATGTAATATTTGATAATAAAGGATTAAAATAGAAAACCCCCTTTATAAAGGATAAATTATACTCCGTAGATTTTACTCCTTAATTTTCCTATTTCTTTTTTTTTCTCGTTTAGATTTAGTATTTTTATTTTTTCATATACATAGAGAAATACTCTCCCTTTTCAAATAACTCACTGGCTTTCATTTTTTTAATACTAGTTTTTTGGATAAATCTACTTCATAGTACACCTATCTTGAAAATGTAGAGAAATGAAAATAAGAAGATTAAATCTAGACGGAGAAATAATAAGGTTATGCAAAAAATCTCAAAAATGATGTGTATAATATAAAAAAACTTGTTTAAAAGAAATTGTTAAAAAATACAAATTATGTGATGTCGTTTAGATAGTAGATTGAACATGTATTAGGATATTTTTTTTATGTAAATCATGAATTATGCATTCAATGAGCTTAATCTATAAACTGAAACCTTATTTTGAAATAAATGAAAAAGAAATTTGAAACTTTTTTCTAGACCAAAAAAGAAAATCACTTATGATCAATATAATGAAAATTTCCAAGTTAACTTTGGTTTTAGATTTTTGTTTGGATAAGAAAAATAAAGTTAGATGTTCAAACAAGCTCGAAGCGAGAGCACCTAATGGTCCAACAGCATCAAGGTGATTATTCCACGTGCGAGGTCACATTTCGAATCTTGGAGGGGCAATAATAGCACTAAAAGAAGTTGTGTTTCCCCAAATAACATCAGTGCTATTCCCCATGACGTTTTGGGCCGGAATAGACAATAATGCCCATTAATTACATTTGTTTAATTAAAAAACATAAAAAAGGAAGGAAACGGCTTTACGGCGCTAGGTTTACGGAGAATCCAAACGGCCAAGGAAAGTAACCAACTCCGATTTGCATGGAGATTTGATTTCCTTGAGGAATTTGAGTTTTAGAGTGATACGAAGGTCATTAGGTTTGGGGAAATTGGTTTCCGCCATACGAACACAGAGAATTGAAAAGAGGTTGGCGGCCATGGCAAGGAGTTCAATGAAAGGCAGAGTATGCGAGGAAGACGAAAATGACTTTGTGAGTGAGCCCCCACCGGAACTTAACAGAAGAATGCTGGTGAGGTCGAGGAATGAAATTGTAAGTCCTTCGATTCGTAATTTATTTTGGTTGCGGTTTATACTAGAAATTGGCGTTTAATCGATTTTCCGCTAGTACATTGAGGATGATACATGGAATGTGTGTTAGTCATTTTCTGAATGTGTTGCTGAGGTTTGGCGAGATGAGGCCAATTTGAGCTTTGTTTTTTTGGAAATAATGTTTGCTTATTAGCGTGTGAAAATGGTCTTAACTGACTGTAATTTGGTTGGTCATTGAAGTGAATGATATTCGATATGTGGTCAGTAACCTAAGTATCAGTTTGGTATTTTACAAGTCATTTTTTTATGAATTTGGGTTGTGTTAAGGGAATTGTTGATATGGGTGCGTAGCATAGGTGTTTGCTTAATGTCTGCTGTGAACATTTTGCAAGGGATTGCAATTGTTTTTTATGTCAGACAATTTGTATTAGTTTTTTAGTTCTAGTAAGATTTAGACACATAATGAAGCGCATTCATGTGTATTCGATCTTATGGCTGTCTTATGTTTAGGTTAGTAAGAATTGAATTCATAGGTGGTTGGAATGTGTTGGGAAAATCACCTCAATTTTCTAGCGGAAGCAATTAATAATTTTCTCGTCTTTGTGTTGTCAAAATGGGCAAAATCATATGACCGATCAAGAATAGCAAACACAACAACAAGCAATCAATCAAACGATAAACGAACACCAAAATTTAACGTGGAAACCCCAAATCGGGGAAAAACCACGAACCCTTCCACTAATCACCAAGAAAATCAGTGGGTACACCAATAATCCTCTCTAAATCAATTAGAGGTACACACAATCATCAAGTAACAACTTGGAACACCAAACAACAATAATCTTCACTCAGAAGTGAGAAAACCACACAAAAACGCAGCAGAGAAACAGAGGCGTTTTTACCAACATAGAGAGGTCAAAACAACAATCCTACCGTTGGATATGAAGAAGAGGATGTCAGGAACAACATACTAAAATTTCATCCCGATCGGAGCTCGTTTGGTCGTCGATTGGAGCAAAAACCAGGACTACTGCCCCACTTTTTCTCTCTTCTTTTCTCTCTCGGTTCTCTCTATTTTCCTCTTTGTTTTCTGCCGTTTTCTTCTGCCCGTGAGAAGCCAAAACAAAAGGCTTTTGCCTTTTCTATAAAGTGGCAGCCCCGACTTTGACCATTCTCATTCCCTTTATTTCTTTTTTATAATAAAAATAATAATAAATATTATTATTATTATTATATTACTCCACCTCTAAACAAATTACATTTTTAACACTAAATGTTATGTTTAGGAACTCCTTCCTCCATGTAGGAGGGATACCCCAACAAAATGTGTTTCTGAGAATGAGATGTTAAGCACTTAGTCATTTTCTGATGTGCATTTGTTAATGACCTGGGTTTATGTGTTTATTTGGAGAAGAATTCTGTTTTTTTTGTAGTTTATGCCAATGAGATTAGTGTGAGTTCAGAAAAAGAAAGGTTTATATGGATTACAGAAACCATTCTTGATCAATCTTATAGTTGTGTTATGTTTATGTATTTAAGAAAAAAACCTATAGGTGTTTGGGGTGAATGTGTAAGGATGTGTTGTTATAGTTTTAGTCATTTTAATTGTGCATTGGTTAATGACTTGGGTGAATATGTATGTTTTGTGAAAAAAATCACTTTGATACACATATGTGGCTTTTCAGATGTATTGTTTAGGAACTCCTTCATCCATGTAGGACNTAAGCACTTAGTCATTTTCTGATGTGCATTTGTTAATGACCTGGGTTTATGTGTTTATTTGGAGAAGAATTCTGTTTTTTTTGTAGTTTATGCCAATGAGATTAGTGTGAGTTCAGAAAAAGAAAGGTTTATATGGATTACAGAAACCATTCTTGATCAATCTTATAGTTGTGTTATGTTTATGTATTTAAGAAAAAAACCTATAGGTGTTTGGGGTGAATGTGTAAGGATGTGTTGTTATAGTTTTAGTCATTTTAATTGTGCATTGGTTAATGACTTGGGTGAATATGTATGTTTTGTGAAAAAAATCACTTTGATACACATATGTGGCTTTTCAGATGTATTGTTTAGGAACTCCTTCATCCATGTAGGACGGATACCCCAACAAATCTCCCCCTCACTTCTACATGGGGGGTAAAACTCAATGATGATAAATATCATACAAACCTTTCACAACCAACTGCGCCAAGTCCGTAGGTTGTGAGCAACGCTCTCTTCTCTTCAACTTGAACACCCGATTGCTCTTGGGTGCTCGCTTGCTTCCATGCAACTTTACTAGGGAATGACCACGTCCATCAAGCAAGGATATAACTCCATCTCGCTTGGCTTGAAACCATGGGTGCACCTTCATCACTTCTTCCCGGTAGCAAACTCTCTCAAATTTACCAATTTGAGGAACCCTCTGTGGCGGAACTCCATGCTCAATATGAGGTGGCTCAAGTACATCACCATCACGATCAACATCATCACCACAACGCTCTCTATCTTCTCCCCCATGATCTGATTGAATGGTAGGAAAAGGAATGTCACCTTCAGGGAGGATACTCTGACAACTCTCAATCATGTGATCAAGCCTCTTGTGCGATAAATCAGCGGAGGGCGCAGTGTTCTGATCTCCTCTGCACATCTTTGCTTGCATCACGTAAATCCTGTTTTCTATCTTACCTCGGGCCATGATCAAAGAACCTTTGGTGAGCTTCCACTTTCCTTCACCAAAGTGGCTTACATAACCATCTCCATTAAGTTCTCCAGCTGAAATGAGGTTGAACCGAAACTCTAGAACATGTCTGACATCTCTGAGGATTAACCTGCAACCAGTGTTAGTCTTTAAACAAACAGTGCCCATCCCAACAATCTTAGATGATTTGTCATCCTTTCCCATCTTGACATAGCCAAAATCACCGCTAGTGTAAGATGAGAAGAACTCCCGATGAGGTGTGAGATGACATGAGGAACCCGAATCAATGATCCAAGTACAATCCTGAAACGCAACATCAAAGTTAGTGTCATCACACACGAAGAATAAATCATCCGCATCTGCAAGAGCTGCTGTGTCTTTCTCCTCTTTCTTCTCAGAAGTCTGACCCTTTTCCTCATTCTGCTGGGCTTTATCTCGCTTCATCTTTCTGCACAGAGATATCTTATGACCCGGTTTATCACAATAAAAGCATTTCACTTCGCTTCTAGATTTAGATCTCCCCCTGGATTCAAAGTCCCTACGTTTGTGTCTTCCACCACCCTCTGCCTCAGCAACATGAGCGTGATTAGAATAGCTGGAGGAACTCAGATCTCTTCTCCTAGCTTCTTCATTCAGCAGACTCGACTTCACAACATCAATTGTGAGCTTACCCTCTAGAGCAGAATTGCTAAGTGATACAACCAAGGTCTCCCAGCTTTCTGGCAACGAGCTGAGGAGCAACAACGCCTGCAATTCATCGTATAAAACCAATTTCATAGAAGACAATTGGTTAATCAATCCCTGAAAATCATTCAAATGCTCTACCACACTATGCTCATCCCTGTAATCAAGTTTCACAAGTCTTCTCATAATAGAGGCTTTATTTAGGGCATTTTCTCTCTCATACATGCATTTCAGTTTCTCCCATAGTTCATAAGCGTTAGTATCATTAGCAACATGCTGAAACACATTATCATCAATAAATTGCCTAATCATTCCAACAGTTTTCCGATTAAGCAATTTCCTAGTACCTTCTTGTTTACCGCTTCGCATCTCCTTATTCAAGATCGATTCATGCAAATCCTTAATATATAAAGAGTAAATTCCATAATTGGTCCTTTATAACATGGGGGTTTCCATATTTAGTCCTTTATTATCAAATATTACCCCCGTAGTCCTTTTTTAAGGGTACCTTTCCACAAATGGTCCTTTTTTCATCTTCTGCCGTGTTGGTGTTAATTTAAAGGCTAAAAGTATAATTTGACATCAACATTATGTCTAGTGACGTGTTCTGATATTGGTTAAGCGGATAACACAAAAATAATGACTATGATTGTGGGCTAGGATTCTGACGAAAGATCACATTTGTAGACTATCGTTGTCGTAAAAAGTGACTGTAATTCACAAACGGCGCAAACGGAACAACCTTTGGAATTGTGTATGACAAAAAAGATATATTATCATTGTGAAATTACATTTTTAGCCCTCAAATTAACACCAACATGATAGAAGATCAAAAAAAGGACTATTTGTGGAAAGGTACCCATAAAAGAAGGACTACAGGGATAATATTTGATAATAGAGGACTAAATAGGGAAACCCCCCTGTTATAAAGGACCAATTATAGAATTTACTCATATATAAAATATCTTCTATCCTGGGTTTCCAACTTTGATAATTGGATGGAGGAGTTCAATTTAATCATTCCCCCAAAAACAACTTTATCCTCCATTTTAACAACACAAGAAAATCACCCGAAAATATAACTCAAGCTTTGATACCAATTGTTGAGAAAATCACCTCAATTTTCTAGCGGAAGCAATTAATAATTTTCCCGTCTTTGTGTTGTCAAAATGGGCAAAATCATATGACCGATCAAGAATAGCAAACACAACAACAAGCAATCAATCAAACGATAAACGAACACCAAGATTTAACGTGGAAACCCCAAATCGGGGAAAAAACCATGAACCCTTCCACTAATCACCATGAAAATCAGTGGGTACACCAAGAATCCTCTCTAAATCAATTAGAGGTACACACAATCATCAAGTAACAACTTGGAACACCAAACAACAATAATCTTCACTCAGAAGTGAGAAAACCACACAAAAACGCAGTAGAGAAACAGAGGTGTTTTTACCAACATAGAGAGGTCAAAACAACAATCCTACCGTTGGATATGAAGAAGAGGATGTCAGGAACAACATACTAAAATTTCATCCCGATCGGAGCTCGTTTGGTCGTCGATTGGAGAAAAAACCGGGACTGCTGCCCCACTTTTTCTCTCTTCTTTTCTCTCTCGGTTCTCTCTATTTTCCTCTCTGTTTTCTGCCGTTTTCTTCTGCCCGTGAGAAGCCAAAACAAAAGGCTTTTGCCTTTTCCATAAAGTGGCAGCCCCCACTTTGACCATTCTCATTCCCTTTTTTTTCTTTTTTATAATAAAAATAATAATAAATATTATTATTATTATAATATTACTCCACCTCTAAACAAATTACATTTTTAACACTAAATGTTATGTTTAGGAACTCCTTCCTCCATGTAGGAGGGATACCCCAACAAAATGTGTTTCTAAGAATGAGATGTTATGCACTTAGTCATTTTCTGATGTGCATTTGTTAATGACCTGGGTTTATGTGTTTATTTGGAGAAGAATTCTGTTTTTTTGTAGTTTATGCCAATGAGATTAGTGTGAGTTCAGAAAAAGAAAGGTTTATATGGATTACAGAAACCATTCTTGATCAATCTTATAGTTGTGTTATGTTTATGTATTTAAGAAAAAAACCTATAGGTGTTTGGGGTGAATGTGTAAGGATGTGTTGTTATAGTTTTAGTCATTTTAATTGTGCATTGGTTAATGACCTGGGTGAATATGTATGTTTTGTGAAAANTTATGTGTTTATTTGGAGAAGAATTCTGTTTTTTTGTAGTTTATGCCAATGAGATTAGTGTGAGTTCAGAAAAAGAAAGGTTTATATGGATTACAGAAACCATTCTTGATCAATCTTATAGTTGTGTTATGTTTATGTATTTAAGAAAAAAACCTATAGGTGTTTGGGGTGAATGTGTAAGGATGTGTTGTTATAGTTTTAGTCATTTTAATTGTGCATTGGTTAATGACCTGGGTGAATATGTATGTTTTGTGAAAAAAATCACTTTGATACACATATGTGGCTTTTCAGATGGAATGACATGGTTGTTTCCTCTGTTATATGTGGGTATATACTCCTGTAGTGATTCAAATATCTTTTTCCTGTTATGTTTTTGTGATTTATTAGGTTAAGTCCTTGAGTGAGATGTGGTCATTACAGATTTATAGTTTATGTACTGGGAGGGGAAAGGATTTATGGTGCGCTATGTGATTTTTTTTTGTCAACAATATGTGTGTGTTGCAGATGTATGTAAGAGTTTGTCGAGAGGATCTGCTTGTAGGGAATACTGGAGTGAAAGTTAATCTTTACTGTAATCTAGCTGCAGGAATCAATTCTCTTAAAGAAATATTAAATGTAAAGGAACTGGAATTGTTTAGGACGACAGCTTTTGGACATTTTCTAGAAATTGGTGAGATAAAGTGGGTTAGTGGCAGTTATTGACCCTTTTAGTTCTAAACTACGTAGAGCCGGCAAATAATGGAGGTGTTAGTGACAATATTACATTCCACATCGGTGATAGAGTTTTAAAGATGCACAAGAGAGATTTTTGGCTAATAACAGGGCTAAAGTTTCGTGTGGAGGATGAAGAAGATTTTTCCAAATATTTTGATGATAATAAAATCAGCAAGAAGTACTTTAACGGCAACATGATTATAACCCGGGATGAGCTTGAGGTGGCTTTTCTGAAAATGGGAAGGTCAAAAAAAGGGATGTGGAGAGATGCGGTTAAGTTGGGGCTTCTTCATGTTCTAGGGAATCATATGGCAGGAAACCAGGGGGGTTTGAAATTGCCTCCGTTGTACATTTATCTGGTTGATAACCTGGCGCGATTCAATGATTTTCCTTGGGGTGAGCATTTGTGGAATGACTTGGTGGAAAGTGTGTCGAAAAGTTCAGTGATACTGAAAACTAGTGAAATAAACAGATTCACTTTTCCAGGGTTTTTGTTTCCCTTACAAATCTGGGTGTTTGAGACTTCGGTGGGAAAGTATTGACAGAATTTGGCCAAGGGCACTTCGGTGGGAGTATGGATTCCGTGCTCGACACGCGTCGTTAGAAAGTGCTATTTTTGGAGGAGAAAAGGTAGAATAGAATGATGTTTTTTGAGTGCAAATTCCATAATTGGTCCTTTATAACAGAGGGATTTCCCTATTTAGTCCTCTATTATCAATTATTACCCCAGTGGTCCTTCTTTTATGGGTATCTTTCCACAAATAGTCCTTTTTATGATCTTCAATCATGTTAGTGTTAATTTGAGGGCTAAAAGTGTAATTTCACAATGATAATATATCTTTTTTTCATACACAATTCCAAAGGCTGTTCCATTTGCATCGTTTGTGAATTACAGTCGTTTTCTACTACAACCATAGTCTACAAATGTGGTCTTTCGTTAGAATTCTAGCCCACAATCATAGTCATTATTTTTGTGTTATCCGCTTAACCAATATCAGAACACATCACTAAACATAATGTTGATGTCAAATTATATTTTTAGCCTTTAAATTAACACCAACATGGCAGAAGATCAAAAAGAGGACCATTTGTGGAAAGGCACCCTTTAAAAAAGGACTACGGGAGTAATATTTGATAATAGAGGACTAAATATGGAACCCCCCTGTTATAAAGGACCAATTATGGAATTTACTCATGTTTTTTTGTTCTCTTGTAATTTTTGTATAGATGTGTTGAAAGTGAATTTGTAATTTCATCTCACAAATTGTGCCTAATCATTTTCTAAATCAGGTGAATTGGAGGTGTATGGTGCCGGAGAAGGCTGAATTGAAGAGCAACGACTTTAGGAAATATTTCAAGAATGTAAACCGTGAAGAAGGTGTTGATGGTGAGTTGTGCGTGGCTGATTTTGGGGCAGGGTGCAATTAAGTGAAGGGCAAGCTGCATTGGGGTGGTGAAATGGGTGATGGCAAGGAGTTTGAAAACCGGAAGGAGAAAAAGTCAAAGTTGAAGCTGCCAAAGAAAGATGCGATAGGGGGATGTAATGAACACCAGAGAAAGGAAGAAGTGGTTCGGAAAACGAAGCAAAAGACCATTGATGACTATGGGAAACATGAAAGAATTGATAGATTGGATGAGATGCTAAGAGAGGTCTTGAAGGGAATATCGTCAACAGAGAAAAGTAATAAAATTTTAAGTAAGAAGGTAGATGCTGTGAGTAATGACTTTAAAGAGCATCGGCGAACTGTAGAAGCATGCTTGGAAAAGGCTGGTTTACTTTCGGAGGAGAGGGGAAGAAAGGAACAAAGAGCACGGGATCGGTCAATTCCGAGTTTTGATTTAGGTCTGGATTCTGATAATAAAAATGAAGATGGAGAATGCAGTGGTGATCTAGAAGTGAAAGAGGGAATGGGAACAGAGTACGGTGTGGTTGCAAAATCGGATGTAGAGGATTATAATCCTCACGTATCACTGAACACCGTGAATAACTGGAGGAAAGTTGTGCTACAATTGAAAGACAGGGGGATAAAGCTTTGGTAAAGGCATGTGATGAGTCCGAGAGAGCAGGAGACCAATCAGAACTCCATATGGATGTTGAAAAAGAAAATGCTACTGTGAATGTATCTGCTATACGGACACCTGAAACGGTTAGTAAGTTTTTATCGCATCTTCTCTGCTTTTACTAGACGTTTAATTTTGTTTTCCTATGCGCATATGTATGCACGTTGCTTGTGCCCCCAATAACGAAGCTGCAGATGTTGCTGGGTTTAAGGACACATTTGAGACGCCGACACAGATTTGTGAGGTTTGTTGGTGATACCTTACAAAGGCTTGTTGAGAGTTATTATTGTAGGCTTTGATGAATATAATAATACTAAAAAATGCATGTTGGTTTACGTAGGCTTTGAAGAATGAGCCGCTGGAGAATTTGTTTTATCCATTGGATTTCAATGTTTTTAGTGTTGAGCATCCCAGACCATCAATGGTATGGTTTCTGTTTTTTTAGTGTTACATTGCCATTAAAGAAGAAAGTGGTATACATCTTAATACATTAGTCATGTGTTGCATAGTACTAGATATGTTATGAGTTTTTTTTATGAAATGAAGGTTGTACCCTTGAAAGAGTTGCATGACTTGATAAAAGCAGTTGAGGAAGAGGTGAAGTCTTCATATGATGATGAGGATGTGAACAGAGTTGGCAATGAGGAGGAGAAATGTACCCAAATGGTTGTAAGTTTCTTGACGTTACTGTTTTTTTGGTTGAGTAGATTATATTGGAGACTTATATGGTCATTACAGTTGTAATGAAAAAGGTATACCTAAAAATGCAGTAACTATAAACGCAATAACTATGAATCACAGGTTTACAACCCTATGAACAATGAAGCTACTTTTATGGATGAAGGTGAAGCAAAGAACAGGCCAAAGAGAGAAATGAAAGCTACAAGAAGATTCACTCCCGGAGAAGATGCACTTGGAAGGACCTATAAACGTCTGAAGACAAACACGTGTAGAATGGAAGAAGAGATGTTCAGAATGGAAGAAGAGATGTTCAGAGGACCATTCAGTAAGGATCCTGATGCAATGCCACCAAATGAAGCACTGAAAACAGTTGAGAAAGTTTTGTTTGATGGGCTGCTGAAGAATCATTTAAGAGTGAGTGGTAGGAAGTATTTTGCTGAGAGAGATCAAATGGATCCTCGCGAGTTTAAGCCACTATATGGGTTGGAGGCGACGTTGAGTAAGAGTTGGTATTACAAGCTTTTTTTTCATGGGCATGGCTAGATGATGAGGTATTATTGGATAAATGGTAATGTTTTCCGACACAACAATAGTAGGATGAAAAGAACTAACATCTTCATCGATTTGCACTTTTTAAAAAACAGCATATGCAGCTGGTATTCTACTACTTGAGGATGAAGGGGATCGAGTTTGGTTAATTTTAACGGTGGCATTGGTGGCGGCCTTGGAGAGAGCCTTAACCCTAGCGGCATCTCGCTACAACCGCATCCCAAATTCGAGATGCGGTCGATGTGATGGAGTTCGAGAGCAAGGGAGGTCTCGCTGGATTCTAGCTAAGAATTAGAATCTTAAAAATGGAAAAAAGAGAGTAATTAAGATCTATGAACAATTCTGAGGGTAGACCTCATTGTTCTTCCTTGTGAGGGTGAAGAAGGATAGTCGGTGGTCCTTGTTCGGTGGTCACAAAGTAGCACTTGCCCCTTTGTCACTGTTGCTGACTGCCTGCACCAGCGGGAGAAAGACACGGAGAGAATGAAGGAGTAGGTGAAGAGTTTTCAAAATCTTTAACTTTTGGATGAGATTTGTGAATTGATTTGTATCCTATCTTTTATCTTTTATATATAAGTTTGAGACTCCAATCTTTAGGAATTCGACATGTGCGTGGCATATTCACAAGTTGACATGTGGTATATTAAGAATTTGACATGTGGAATATTAGGTATCATTTTAACAAAATTTACTCTTCAATTATTTTATTTTTTAACCCTTTTTGTGAAACTCATAAATACTTTTTTTGAACTCATTAATCCAAATTTAGAATTAAAATTAATTTTCCTATGATTTATTATTTCTAATAATATATTATTTTTTCACAAATTTACATAAAAGTATTTTTAATTTCAATCTCGGATTGGATAAATCATAAAATTTATGTTTTGATTTTGAAATAATAAATAAAATACACTTCTCACCTGTAAAAATATATATTTATTCATTATACGTTTACATGATATTTGTTTGATTATATTTAATTAAAGATTGACACCTATTAAATAAAATACTTTCTTCACCAATAAATTTAATTTTACTCCGTATATTTGATTTGACGCCTAATATGCCACCTAATTTAAGATATATAAAATGTACACTTCACGTCTAATATGTCACCTAATTTTATATCTATGATTATAATTAGTACCAATCACATTTTGCCAATCAGGTTGGCCCACTCTATTTCTTTTAGGTACACAAACATAATATTGATCGAACCAGAGGACAATACTGAGGCAATGGAAGGATGGACGAGATGATATCAAGAAAGGAAACGATAATGATGTTATTTTGAAATATTATCCTAAATAAGTTTTGTACGAATAAGTTAAGCTTCCGCGCATGTATAATAGATACTCCGATATTAATAAAGAAATTATGTTTATTGCTCCATTTTCTGATTAAAAAAGTTAGACCCGTTAACAATGTGAGTCTGATACTTGAATAAATTTGGATAATTGTGGCGTGGCGTTATAACTTTTTTCTTCAATTTAATAAAGAGTTGTGCTATTGTGAACTTAAGATTCATATATATGTTAAATGTGGATATTTTCGCATATGAAGTACTTTTTATGCGCTCATTATTGAACCTTTTTCTTTTTATATGACCCAATAAATATTATTTTTCCATGTACTGTGTTCCATAAAATAATTATAGACCTAAGAATCACAACACTATTTTCATTTAACAGGAAAATACTTTATTTAAAGGGCATTTCTTGGTAGCGGTGCATATTAGCTTATTTTTTATAAGCATTTATTAATTTATAAGTTACGGTAAATATAATTTGAAGTATTTGTATTTTTTTTGTAAAGTGACTTAAATGAGGGATAAATTATTTGGGGATATACATAAAATGTTAGGAATAATTTTGTAAATAATTTGGTAAAAAAAAAACTGACTTAAAAATAAGTATGCAAAACTTATTTATATTTTCTTGTTTTTAAACAGCTTCTAAATTGTACACACAGTAAAATACGTTACTCACTATAGGCTTTGTTTGGAACCTGGTTGTTCGTAGGGGAAATTACATATAATGACATGTCTCAATTTGTGTTAATTTGTGTTTGATTTTGATTAGTATAACTTTTTTTTTGTTTTGATAAAAGATGCACACCATACACGTAAATATTCCACACTTTTTTGAACAAAAAAGTGACTACTTTCTATTTATGTTTGGAAAATTAGGAAATGAGAATTTACATTTACATTTTAAGGGTAGACGTTTTCGAGCATTTTTCAATTCTCATTTTACAAATAACAATCAGGCAACCTTTTTTATACATTTTTAATGTAGTATTATAAATCTATAAAAAAAATACTCTACACCAATTTTAAATTTTTAAGTGTATTTTCATTGATCATTTTTCATATAAAAATCATATTACCTCGACCTTTTTTTGTAATGCCTTCCGTCTTTTAAAAAACATGATAGTTTGATTTCACAAAACTTTAAAAAATTATTTAAAAGGTTGTAAAAAGTTAAAAAAGTATGGCGATGAAATTTATTTAAAAGAGATAAAATTAATGATTCCACATATTTATTTCCAAAAAAGAAAATAGAGAAATGTATAGTTGGTTCTTTAGACATCAAATAAAAAGTGTAAAATTATATTAAAGACTAAGAGAGTATAAAATAGATGACATTTTAAATTTAAAAAATCAAATAAAAAAGATGAAGGAAAATAAAGAATGACAAAAACTAAGGTTGCGTTCCGTTGGCCTGATCTGATCTAATCTCATCTTATTTTTTGAAGTTATGATCTGATCTGATCTAATCTAATTGGACCTTATTTGATCTGATTGGATCTGATTAGATCTGGTCACATCTGATCTGGTTTGATCAAATTTGTTCTGGTTAGATCTGATATGAATTTGATTGAAATTAAATTTTTTAATATAATAGTTATAATAATAATAATATAAATATTAATAATAATAGTAATAATACTAATAGTAATAGTAATAATAATAACTATAATAATAAAACTAATAATAATAGGAATAATAATAATAACTATAATAATAATAATACTAATAATAGGAATAATTATATAACTATAAAAATAATACTAATAATAATAGTAATAATAGGAATTATAATAACTATAATAATAATACTAATAATAATCAAAATAATAATAATAATAGAAATATTGATAATAAAAGCAATAATAATAACGGAAATAATAATAATCATAATAATAGTAAAAATAATAATAAATTTAATAATACTAATAATAATAATGGTAATAATAATAATAATAATATAAATATTAATAATAATAGTAATAGTAATAAACTATTAGTAACAATGATAATAATAATAGTAATCCTAATAATAATAATAATAGTGACAATAATTTTGGTAGTAGTAACAATAATAATAGTAATAATAATTATAGTCATGATGGTAATAGTAAAAATAGTAAAAATAGTCATAATAGTAATAGCAATACACATAATAGTTATAATTATTATTACTATAATAAAAATAGTAATACTAATTATAGTCATAATAGTTATAGTAATAGTAATAGTAATAGTAATAGTAATAATAATAATAATAATAGAAATAATAATAGTAATAGTAATAATAATAGTTATAGTAATAATAATAAGAAGAATAATCATAGAAATAATAATAATAATAATAGTAATAATAATAGTAATAATAGTAATAGTAATAGTAATAATAATAGTAATAATAATAATAGAAATAATAATAATAATAATAGTAATAATAAATATAATAGTAATAGTAATAGTAATAATTATAATATTAGTAATAATAATAATAATAGAAATAATAATAATAATAGTCATAAAAATAATAAAAATAGTAATAATAATTATGATCATAATACTAATAGTAATAATAATAATAATATTACTAATAGTGGTAATAATAGTAATAGTAATAATAATTATAATTATAATAATAATATTAATATTGTTTATATTTGCTCTGATCAGGTCTGATCTCATATGGTCTGATCTGATTGGATCTAATCTTATTTGGTGGGATCTAATCTGATCTTGTCTAATCTGATGTGGTCTGATTTGATTTTAATAAGAATAAGTAATAAGCAAAAAAGATAAGTTGAATGGAATGCTGCCTAAACATCCATCTTTAAACACTACACATGTTAGCCTTTTCATATGTGTCTGTTCGAGCCAATTACCCAACTAAAGAAGCCATTTTCCAAACATGTATTCCCTCCATCCAACAATAAATATCTCAGTTAGTATTACGATCTCTAGATATTTTTTTTTGTTTGGTTGCATATTTTCATCAATCATTTGATAAGATATAATATTATTATCAGTAAAATTTGTAGAACTTTTGATGTAGTTTTAATTTGAACAATATATTTTATACATTTTTATAAATGAGAAATTTATTGTTGGACAGAAGTAGTAATTATAGAGACAAAATAGCTCTTGATGGTCAAACAACAATTTTTTTACTGAAAAGTCGTTAACCAAACAGGGCCTATAGCACTATAATTAGATGCACGTAGGTTTAATTTTTTGAACAAACGCTTTCAGTAGTTTAAATCAAGGAAAAACTTAAAGATACCCCAAGTGCAGGCCCACCCAATGAGGAGTGTAAAAAGTGCATTAGCAGAGGGCCTCTAAAATTAAGGGGTCCAATTTAATTCAATTAAGCCCATTATTTATCTTAGGCCAATTAAGTACTCCGTAACACCTCCTCATGCTCTGGACTCTTCAACCTCGGCTTCTTTCTTTGATCTCCAATCCGGCTCTTCGTTTCCTCTCTTCCATATACTCCGTATCTTGTATTCCTCTTCAGCTCTTCCACCTTCTTGTTATAGCAGAACTCAAATGCATTGGTGAAGTTTCAAGCCTTTCTTGGTGAATTTATGATTTCGTTCATGCATTGCTTCAATTAATTTAGGTGTATTTGTTTCAACCTATTGATTTCTTATATTTCATTTAATAGGCTAATATTTTAATTTTGCTTTTGGACTCATTTTTTCTAGTTTTTTCAATTCTAATTTGCT